CCCATATCTTACTTACACAGCAACCAGCTGGATCTTGAATTTGATAGATGTTGGATTGAATTCCGGTTTGCTCAGGTTATGTTCACATTTCTAGAGGCAAAGATATTTTAATGAGCACTGAAAGACGGTGCAGCCACACACTGAAGAATCACAGCTGCAAGCACACCGATAGCCACGATATTTACCAGCTTCGAGCACACAAAAGCAGCTCAGAGGTGGCGGTGTCAAGTCACTGACACTTGGAAAACATCATATCTAGCACTATCAGTGCAATCACAGAAACACAGGATTTGGGACCAGGCTTAAAAATACTTAAGACGTTCACTGACTGCAGCAGGAGCAAGGCAAAGAATACCTGCAGCTCTGTGACTTACATTCTAGAGCAAGAGGAGGGGGCAGGGAGAAACACAGCTTCAGCCTGTGATTATTTATTTCTCTGCACTTCCAAAGCGTTCTCCATCTAAAATACTTAAGAATATTACCCTATTGCTCTGGGAAAGAGATGAACAATATCCCCCTTGCACAGAGAAAGCAGCTTGCTGAAGATAAGCCAGTAAGCCAAACAGGAGAATTGGGATGTGTAATTTGGCTGTCATCACTCCTCAGTGCTCTGCTCTCCTCCTCTCAAGCACTCTTTGTTCCCATTCCATCAGCACTGTCTGTATGTTGCACTGCCTATTCTTTCTTGTGTTTGCTGACATAAATTTTCTGCTATTAATGAAGGCAAAAACAATAGTGCCAACTGTACTGGCAAAATCGTAGTGATTTTTGTAGTATCATTCTTTAGCTAAGCAGGTTATGCAGAATAGTCTGCAAATCCACCTTTGTATCTTTATGCTTCTTAAACAGTGTGGCCATTTAACGTTCTCCATCACAAATTAAAGCTGCTGCCACTGTCCTGCTGCTGTTGCTAGTGCTCTGGTTGAGAACTTTCAACAGTGTTTGAGCAGTTCCTTAAAAAAAACAGCCTGTTTCCTACAGTCCGGGATATGAGAGCCTGGAAAAAGCTTCTATTTTTGTATTTAATTACGTACCCGGCAGCGCAGAGAACGTTTGATCAGGAGGTGTTTGTGGCGTGGGTAGAGCTGGGACGCACAGATTGGTTGGAAGTCGGGCTGCAGCAGACGCTGACGCAGAGTCGTCACTTGGTGCACAGAAAGCAAGAGCAGGGTCACATCTTACTGTCGCAGCAAAACCCAAGCTACACGATATACGTGCACTGCACCACGAACAAAGGTGCAGTGCCCTAAAGTGCAAGCATGCTGCAATCTCTAAAACTGAGCGATGACTGAATTACTGGCTGCAAATTAATTTAATGAGTGTTTCTAGAAGCCTGTGAATGCAAGGGTAGGGTGCTACAAAGAGCTGCCGTGAGCAGGCAGGATGAGGGTAATGTAACATCAGTGCCAGTCCAGAAGAAACCAAATACTCTGAGCTCTGGGCAAAATTTAAAGCAGTTTTTGTAACTTTGTACTTGTGCAGTACCCAGCTGCGAGGGTGAAATTTAAAGCAGTTTTTGTAACTTTGTTACCCTCACAGCTGGGTACTGCACAAGTACAATCTACCACTTCTGTGCAAGCAGTTTGTATAGCTCAGACTGGTGCATAGTTAGTGACAACATAGTCCTCGAGGCAGGAAACTCCAGAACTGGAACTCACCAAGGGTTTCTCCCAAAAAACAGGTTCCCCGTGGACTCTCTACTGTCCAGCAGGCAGTGAGCCACTGGACAGCCTTTCCCTTATAGCTGAGAACCATTAAGGTTGTCATCTTTACCAGCCTCCTATTTTCACATGGAGGGCATCTCACGAGGGAAGGTGACCAAGATCACCCACCCCTTCCCCAAAACCTTGAGCACAGGCTGGCTCTGCAGGCCTGCAGAGAACATCTGTCCTTACTTAAAGCCACCTCAACACAAAGACTACATTGCACTGATGGTTTTATACCATTCCCTAGTTTCCTTGGTCAATCTACAATATTTGATTAGATCACCATCTAGCTAAATAACTCCCATGCTTCAAATTGAAGTCAAAACAATGCACTATTGTTTCCTAACAGCTCAGTTAATGCGTCACTCCCCCAGTAGCACAGCAAGTCCCTTGTTTCCTATTATTATATGAAAAAGGATGTTAGATCTTTTCTTCATTCTGAAGTCGGCACTTCACATGCAGAGAAATTAAGGTCGGCAATAAAATGAAACAAGGGTAAACAGATCTGACTTCTCTGGCTCTGAGCTTTCCCTGTGTAACATTAACTCCGATTGCAGCTCAATTTCCTGTTTAACTGAACCCCAAGGGCAAGTTTCCAAACACTGCCCATATTACAGACTGCAAGAGCAAGAAGTGACAGAATATTAAGGTATTACCTTCTGTCAGGTTGATTGGTCTTGTGTAGTAATCCTCAGGAAGGGGTTCCACTTCTTCTACCGCATCAGCTGGCTCAATCTTGATCTCTTTTTGGTCCTCTCCTTCTTTCAGACTGAAGCAAAAGGAGGGTCAAATTAATCACTCAATAAGACATGCAGCAGCGCCGGTAGCTGCTTTCAGCACAGAAGGCAACAAGACAGCACTAAGCACACAGAGAGATGAGCAGCAACTCGTTTCTATGAGGCTAGGCTGCCTATCTGGAGCTGCACGTGGATTTGACACCACCTCTCCAAAAATAAAAGCCTCTTTCAGTACTACCTGGACATAGCGCATCACTATTCTGGAGTTGTTGTACCGTCCTCTTGCCAATACCTCCCATCCTTCCCACCAAGCTGATCCCGAGTGAGACTCACGAGAGGCCGGCGAGGGCGCTGATGGGCGCTCCGGATCTCTGCCGCTGCAGCCGGGTTCCCAGGCCGTATTTGTCCTGCAGGTAGGAAAAGGCACCGTCAGCATCAGATCTGCCCTCTGCCAGGCTACGAAAACTGCCAGCTCACCCTCTGGATTGCACAACAAGCATAGGGAGACAAGCAAAGGAAAGCAAAAGGGGAAGTTTTCAGATTTTTTCCCCCTCAAACTGTTAGTAAGGAGAAAACAGCTACCACCACACTGCAGGCTGGGAGGAACAGGTGTATGTGGCTACTGCTCAGAGCTTTTGCTCTTTCCTTAAACCACTATACCTAGCACGGCCTCAATTGCTTCTCTTCCAAGCAATTGCATGTCAAGAGGTGCAGAACAGGAGTTCAGCTGACTAAAGAGCTGGGTTGCAGCGGGTGGTACCACCTGAACTGCTCTGCAGCACCACTAACAACAGCTGCAGAAGGCAGAGCACAGCTCCAGGACCAGCTTCCTATAGTCTTGTTATCTAAAAGTCCAACTCTTTCTCCAAGCACTACCTATTGGCAAGAGCAGCTGAACTACTCTTTTGTAGCTGAACTGAATGCAGGGTATTTTGTGGCAGGAGTCTTTCTTCTGAAGAACCTGAATTTTCACTAAGAAATCTGAGAATCAATCTATCTTGGCAATCCTTCAGTGATCAGAAGGCTAATATTAGTGCCATTTACATCAGCTAGACAGACGGCTATGTCCTGGCCAAGTTTTGTGAAGGACTATTTTTCAACTGTTATGTTATATGCCAAGAACAATTCACTGTTTATAAGGTAATAAGATACATTTTTTTTTTGTTACAAACACTATCCTCTGACTAGTTAAGACTTCAGATGCATTTGTCCTAGGCACATCCAAGCCAAAGTCCCTGAGGCAAGGTCGAGAAGAGGATACTGCCCTTCAGTTGGTAGTATGAGAGCTTTAACACCAGCAGAAACTGTGAAAAGACTTACCACTACGTGTATAGTGTGTTGCTGTGGACAGCCCCCAAAATAGCAGCAGGTAGCAACGGAGACAAAAAAATGCAGCCATAAGACATGAGCAAGGGCACAGAGCAGGCACAGTTAATTGAGAGGTAGCAAGCATAGGCAGAGTCACCCAGCTAAAGGAAGTAAGCTTTTAAGTGACAGTTATAATAAACGTGTCGTTCAAGCCACAAGAATTCTTAAGGTTAATTTTGGTTAACATTTCGCAGCAAGCAAGTGCAGGACAACCCTGTTATTGAAGAGCAGTGTGCAATTGTGCTGAGAAAGCTCCAGCACCAGGGTCTTGAGCACCTTCTGGTGCAGGTAGGAGCCACCTCACCTCCCTCGTACAGGTGGGGCATGGAAAGTAAATCCTAGATCACCAGAATGACAGACTTGCAGAGCATTTCACTGCTGATAGCGAGTGTAAACTCCTCTGTCTTTTACAGAGGGGACTGTTAGAGAGAGAAGCATCATAATGCACCATAATGGGTGTAAAACTGCTTGTCCCAAAGACACCCAAGGCTCTAGCTCGTTTCCTTGACGTTGTGTCAGAGAGCACTGCGCTCCCAGCTCACCGAGAAGGCCAGGGGCATGTAGTTTCGGCGGCGCACCAGCTTCTTGCGATCCCGCTCAATCTTCTCCTTCTGAGCCAACTGCTGGTAGTACTCAACCAGTTTGTTGATCTGGAGGGGAGAATGGGAACAGACACGCAGTGAAAAACAGAGAAACAAACACCAGCTGGCTAGGGATATTTGTTTCCTAACAAGTTTCTGCTACTTGTTTGAATATATCACTAGTTGTATTTTGAATAATTATACATCAAAGAAGCCTGCAGGGCTTAACATTTTACTGCAGTGTAGATAACAATTCCCTGTCCTTTGGGAATGAGGCCTACCGAAGTGTCCAATTCTCAATCTGCAATTAGGTGACTGAGATGCTGTCCCCGTCACTTACCCTCTGCGTGTGAGGATTCTCTGGCTCCTGCCAGCCACCACTAGCTGTATGGGAAAGAAAGAACAGAACCTTCAAGGGACAATTTCCAGATTCCGCACAGAAACTGCATCTGATGTACAGCTCTCGATCTTAGTCACGAAACACAACATTCCCTATTTTTGCTAAACTTATCACAATTCTTGAAGTTCACATCTGCACAAACATGCATCTTTGAAGCTTTTCACAAGCAAGTTTGGCAGAAGTAACTTCACCAGCCTTTTTTTTTTTTAATTATTATTTTTATAAAGAGCTTCTATTTGAGACACAGTCAGAATAGCTTCTAGGGGTGATTTCAGCAGCACAAACACAAGCTTATAGAAACATTCCTATTGCTAGATGCCCACGTCTCTGCATCTTCATCACATGAACACTGAATATCAAAAAGGTACCTGCTTGGTTTTACTCAGCTCCCATTACTGGAGTCCAACAGATATTTTCTGCATGTCTTATATACCAAGCAGAGATGAAAGCTTTGTTCCAGTGCCATCGTGAACAGCGAAACAAAGTACAAAAAACCACAAGCAACTTTCATAATAAGCCCTTCCCCCCACCCCACTATAGATGAACAAAAGTGGCAGAAAACAGATTATTTTTATGCTGTCAGACTCAGTAGCTTCAAAGATTCTGGAAGTACATAAACATGCTCTTGCTCAGTGCAAAGACAGCACACCAGCTAGAAAGGCAGATTGCCTGACAGTTTTCTCACTGATTAGGCAATGTGAGCATGGAACTGGGTCAGATGTTCCACTAGTTCATCCTCTTTCTTCAGAAGAGACCTCAGTAAACACTCATGGTGCTGTGAATTTCCAACTCTAACTCAAAGCCTAGGCAGATACTCCATACATCGCATTTCCAGACACTAATTTGCTGATCTGTTATCTCTAAAACATATATTCAGCTCCTGCCATTACTCAGTCTTCCAGCTTTGACTGTCACTCACCCACAGACTTGTCGGCCATGCCCACGTCTCGGGAAGTCCAGCGGCAAAACCCACAGGCCAAGTAATAGGCCTTCTTCATGGTGGTCTTGGCTGGGTCGTCAGGGAGCGTTTTGCTGGTGGCGCGGGTGGACAGCGTGTGCATGCAGCAGGGGCAGTCAAAGCAGTTGGCACATCTGCAAAGAGAAAGGCCTGAGACGGGGCCGGACAGGCCTAGGAAAACTTAACATCCACTATAAGACTAAACCAACGTGTTGGCCACGTTAGGGAAGAAGGGCAACACAGACATCTAGGGGACAAGGGGAGTTCAGAGTCAACGTGAGGGCACTAACAGTAAGAAAAAGCTGGGCGATCCAGAAGGTTATAGTTTGTAACGTGAAAGCCTGTCACCAAAAAGACCTAGAATGTCAAGCGCACGTGATACACCACAGAAAGGCACTCGCTCCCCAAAAATCAAAAAGCAGCAAAGAAGGCACAAAGATTTTGAGGAATTTCAAGAAGTCAAATCCTACGGAACAGCCAGACATACAAGTGTTGATAAAGTTTTTAATGGTTGATTTAATTTTTAAAAAAGCTACAGCTCTTATGGCCAAAGCTATAGCCTTACCTATTCTTTTTCAGCTTGGCTTCAGCTGACGGCATATTCTCCAGACAACTAGGGCAGTAGTGCGAGTCCACCTGAGGAACAACAGTCACATTAGGCTCCTTGGCATAAGCTTCTCCACAAAGAGTAAAGACCACAGCCTGAAACTGTGACACACAATTTCGGGGGGTTTGTGTGTGATAACAGCAATCGGAAGTCACTGAAGTTCTGAGGGATTTCTTGATATTTGACGTGTTGGCCAGGCGTAGCCAATCAATAAATAAATAAAGCTGTCCAATATCATAAATTATTAGTTTCTTTTAAGCAAAAGATTAATTTGCTCTGTCTCCTAAATATGAAATAGATAACTGGGTACTGCCTTTCTGCAGCTACCAAAACCTCTTTTTTTTTTTTTGGTTAAGATTGAGCAGCAGATTTCAACACGTCATTTCCTAAATAACATTATCTTGTCCTATGACTATGCTGGTCAGAAAACAACACATTCCAAGAAGAAAAAAATGTTTATGCCTGATATGACAAATCGATTTTGTCCATTCAAGCAACATCTGTCCCCTTCCTGAAGAAAAAAAAAAGATAATATTATTATTAACTATATAATTATAATTTTTATTAT